TTCACCACCAGGTGCCGTGTAGACTTTTGGATCCACGAAAAATAGCGAATGAATATAGCGAAAAAATTCAAATTCTTATCATTTCACTTGAATCACAAACATTTTCTGGACGTGTTGCATACACTATTCACTCTCTTTATGATGATGTTGAACATAATTAGGAACGATCTATTTCTAGTTTTTATTATTGATATTTATCTCAAAATTCAAACAAATACGAATTTGATATCCGAAATGAGTTTCATTCGAGTGAAGTCATATAACCTGTTTGTGAGAGATATAATTCCCAAATCACTAATACGAATGATTTTTTCATACAAATAAATATACCCCTCATATACATTCCAATTTTCATTTCGATACTGAACATATTGGTAAGTTATATTTTTATATCATAATACATCATATATTATTCTATTCGATTTGAGAGATAAGGTCAATTCTCAATTCAGAGGATTTTGATTTTTTCATGCTCTCTTTTTGGATATCAACAGATATAATTCAATGTTCGACGTGGCAAATAGCCAGGAAAGTAGTTGTTTTTTGTTGAATATTCAGAATGATATTATGTGCATATCTTTACATGAAGGAGAATGCAAATTCTCTACTTCAGAAGATTGTTTTCAAATTCTTATCGTGTGTTCAATAGATATAATTCAATGTTTGTCGTGGCATATAGCCAGGAAAGTAGTTGTTTTCTGTTGAATAAACCGAGATAGAATAATTATGTTCATTACATGGAGAATGCGAATTATCAATGTATTTATACATATAAATTTTTTTGTGTTCATGAACATATCTGAGAAAATTTTTCTTCAATAATTACTAATATATTGAAGGAATTCAATTTCTTCTGATTGATTGGTATATTGTCTACTGATATTAGTGAAAAATTATACTCTGATACGAAATAATTTTATCCCGAAGTATTATTGTGATTTCAGGTATACAGGTTGTCCCAAAATTACATGAAATGATTTCAACCACAGATTCTAGGAACGAAAATACTGAAAAAAGTTTACATAAAGATGGAATCATTAATTGCCCCCTGCTGCAAAATAAAAACAAATACAACAAGCTTATACAGGGTGAGTCATGCGGAACTGTACATACTCCTACCACAAATAGAAGCTCCTGAGGGGAATACCTCATGACCATCAGAAAGTGTCTTCTCCTCTTCTTCACTAATACATAGGGTGAATTATGGGATTTGGCGAAACCATCTTTTGGTCATAAATTCCCAACAGCTTCTCCGATTTGTCTTATTTTCCCATGAAATATCCTGCTACTACTATCTAATCGGCTGACTCATTCAGAATCAGGAAAATCCAGGACCGTTCTTGAAACATTTTGCTACTTCAAATTATATCAAAAAATTCATTCTGTATCTGGTTTTTGTGAACTGTGACAGGAAATATTCAGAGGTCACCAACCGAACATCAAAAATATCCAAAATTTCTCTCACACTCTCGCAGAATATTCGAAAAAACGATACATTTTTAGAAAAAACGAAATTTTGAAAACTCTTACTTCGCAACGCATAAATTCCACGAATAAAAGTAAGACTTAAATTCTCAAAATTTAAGCTCAATGGGAATCAACATGTTCTTTTATTTCCAGGCCTGGATTTCGTCATTTTAATTTTGTGTGTACGGTATAATAATCACCCTGTATTTTTCTTACGAATAAGTGGATGGGGGGGTATCTGTATGGATGTTGATGATGGTCATCGATTTAGATGATCTCATGATCATTGATTTTCAATTTCATAGATTCGATTTGTTTTATCAAGTTATTCTAGTCACTTATTTGCCGTACAGAAAAATAATTATTATAATCCTTTGTTATAGTACTCTTATAAAAATTTTGGAAAACCCCCATTTTCTGATTGACTTTCCAGAATCATTTGAATCGATTGTCATTGATATCGATACAGATAGCTCATCCACTGATTCGAAAAAGATCTACAGGGTGATGATTATACCCTTCACAAAACATTAAAATGACGGAATCCAGGACTGGAAATTGAAGAACATGTTGATTTCCATTGAGCTGAAGCATTGAAGATGTCAGTCTTACTTCAAATCGTGAAGTTTATTCGTTGCGAAGTATTTATTTTCAAATAAATGTATTTGTTGCAAAAAGTTCGTCTTTTCTTCGAATGTATCGTTTTTAAAAAAATTGTGTGGAAGTGTGAGAGAAATTTTGGATATTTTATTTTCGATATTATTTGTTTGTGACCTTCGATTTTTTTTCTGTCCTAGTTTACAAAAACCATATACAGGATGAACTCTTCGATATAGATTGAACAAGCAAACTTGTTCAAGAACGGTCCTGGATTTTCCTAATTCCAAATAAGTCAGTCGATCAGAGAGTAGTGGCAGGATATCAAATGTGAAAATCAGACGAATCGAAGAAGCTGTTTGGAAATTCATGATCAAGAAATTTTCTGCCAAATCCCATAATTCACCCTATATATTAGTGAAGGAGAGGAGCAGACACTTTCTGATAATCATTAGGTATTTCCCTCAGGTGCCTCTATTCGTGGTTAGAGTATGTACAGTTCCTCATGACTCACGCTGTATATATTATCACTGACAGACACCGGTATAGGTGAAACTGAATGAATGCTTGTAATTGTGAACATGTACGATAACGAAACCCTCCAAATACCAATTCTGAATATCATCGGACCATAATCAGAAAACTCATCTGCTATTTCAAATCCGACATTTTAAAACCGTCATCTCGAATTTCCTAATTTTGACTGAAGAACCATAATTGCCGATCCCCTAATACCAATTTTGAATAGAATCGGATCATAATTACAAAACTCATCAGCCATTTTGGATCCCCCATTTTGTTTTTTCTTCTTACAAAAAATGTATTGATGCATTATTGTCACGCGATGAACACCTGCTGGATTTCAAATCAATCAGAGATTTAAGAGTGTGTCATATTTAACTTGCGAGATTTGATTACACACAGACAGGTGAAAGTCAATAAAAGTTGGAAATTTTCTCGAAATTTGAATTGCTATAACTCAGAGAGTTCTTTGCTCAGGAAAATGATTTTCATTTCAAATAGTGTACAATTTACAGTTCTTCAAGAAATCAATGATGTGTTTTTTTAGTCAAACCTGCCTTCCATGCGGAAATTCCGAAAAAGCTTGAGAAAAATCGTTAATTTCGCTGGCGGCGCTTCCGGCGCATTGAAGACTTTTCCTGGAATGAAAACCAAAGGAAGTGTCTTCATGTGGATGAAACCATAACTGTGTTGAAACGAAGAATTCACAGTCGATATAAATGAATCCTCCAACATACGTATGTGATAATAAGCATTTTCCTATAGTGAAAAAAAAACAATAGGGAGAACGAATCATTCAATATAGTTATTTACACTACAAGGGAGGCAAGTGATACTTACCAGTCGAGGACATTGTTTGCGCCCGAGCGATAGCGAGGGCTTGCAAAATAGTCCGAGACTGGTCAAGAACACTGCCTCCCGAGTTTTGTATTATATTTTTTCTACTCCAGTTCCCTTAGATTAAAAAAAATGTTTTTCAATTACTTATATAATTTGACTAATCTAACTGAAAAACCCTGTATGTATGACAGGTTTCCTAGTGTTACACGTTGATCGCTATGGAATTCATATTGTTTATAATCAAACAAATGTTCTGTCAGTGTCATTTTATTAAAAAAATCGAAAAAATGGATATCGATGCAGTTGCGAATGCAGCTTGTGCTGCTCTATTACCTCAGAAATCGAAGGAACGGTACAATCGGTGTTACAAGGACTTCAAGGCTTGGTGCAGTAATATTGCAAGTGGTGAAAGCATTACCGAGAACTCTTTGCTGGCGTACTTTGTAGAGAAGTCACAGACCCTAAAGTCCCCTGCAAGTTTATGGAGTGAGTATTCGATGCTAAAATCGACGTTATCCATTCAAGACAATGTAGACATTTCCAAATTCCTTAAACTAAAGGCGTTTTTGAAGAGAAAAAATGATGGCTATAAGCCAAAAAAGTCTCAAGTTTATTTAACTTGCTTCCCTAGGGAGGTAAATATTTACTTACCTCCCTAGGGAGGTAGAACGTGTTTTCCTCCCTCAAATCAGTATCAAAATGAAGTACTTTCCGAGTAAGGAGTAGAAAAAATACTTTTGAAGCATACATTGCTCACCTAGAAACTTGTTGAAGTTCCCAATAATAGAGAAAAATATCACAAATATCGGAATACAACGATATCAAAATAACAAACCTTTATTCAAATTACTTGACACAGACAGTCCAAGGGAAGCTGAAATCACAATTAACATTATTTGAACATCACAATTTTCATTATGGCCTGAGACCTGATAACAATGTTAGGTTGATTACCATTACGACGAGACGAGAGTAGCCCCAGACCAAATAACTTTTGGAACCCTCGCATTCAGTTTATCATTGGTTGTCAAGTTTCTCATGAGAGTTTCTTGATCATTTTTCGTCATGATCCTGACTAGGAAAATTTCGTATTAACTAATCGAATACAGAGCTGCTTGTCTCCTCAATTGAAAGTTCCGTTTGAACTTGAATAGGTATACGAATATTTCAAAATGAACTATTTCTTGAATGTTTTCAATACCTGCACATCTGAATAGCTATCTACAACTTCAACGTAATTCCGAATATTCGGTAAATGCTGTTCCGTTAAGAAGTTCTTCTCTTTCTCGAATAATGATAGCTATCATATCCAAAAATCTATGATTTCGGAAATTATTATCATCCTCCCACCCGAATATTTGAGGTTATCTGTATCGCACCGTGACTTGACCGTAGCACAAGCACGGAGCATTGAGCAAGTTTGAAAGCTGGTGGAAGTGGAAATCATTCCTCGACAAAAGTTCACTCTTGAAATTCTTAGTGGACCACGCAAAATGCGCTCAGTGCCAAAAAAGTTAGAGGCAGTGCGACGAGTGGAAAATGCTAATAGATTCGAGCAGATACTCCTAACTCACATTTAGCAGCATTCTTCTTCCGAATTCGAATCTACATAGGATGCAGAAGAGGAGGAATAGAACGGCGAGCACTAGAACATTCCACAAGCCTTTTTCAGCATAATAACATTCCAACTGTATGGGCCTCTTTCCTTTCGTCTCGTAGAAATATCTTTGAGTCCTTTCTACGACTGAGTGGTCCGGTCCTGGCATAGGAACCATCCATCCGTCCACCAAATCGTTTCTGAATGGCAATATCCTGAAAAGGATTCCTAAATATACCAGGTGACACGTTTTAGAGTATAGTACCCCCTATATCTCTTTCATGTTTGACAATAGAAATAAAATGGGGAATAGAATTTCCTTTCCGAATGAATAACATGCCTGATGTCACAGATACGTTACAGGAATGCCTTTGTGCCTCTTTTGAATATTTAAATGTATGATGTTGATGGTAAATATTATATAAATATATCAGGAATCACATAAAATCAATGTTACTTCATAGCGTATATTTAATGTTACTCAATACATCTGAACAATAATATTGTATATCAAAACATTCTAATTATTTTCTAGGAGTTTTTAAGTTATGTCTATTTTATCTGAAATGATCAAGACAATCATCTAAATGATTTCCACAAAAGACAAAGGAGATGATCTATCCCTGAATATGAATTGATCTCACGGTACTCCTGAAAGACTATAAGTATGATCCAGTTACACAGTGTTATTTTGAGACAGATTGTAACGGTCCACTTGACTATTACATACACTTTAGTGACCCTTCTACTATCCTTTTTTTTTTCAGTGCAATCAGTTCGGAGTAACACTCAGTATGCATCGTATTTTCAACAGAGAAATAATAATTCAACATGCATTTGTCAGGACAACCTGTATATGACTTGCGTCTTCTTCCTGTGATTGTGATCGAGTCATACGTGAATATGCTGATATGTTTCCCTGCTAAGAGTTTCACTTGTGAATGTGTTCATCTTATTCTTATTTTTGTCAACAAACTCAAAACTTCTTCTTCTTTTTATAACAATTGAAATATCAACATAAAGAATTCACTGATTGCCTCAGCTGTGTTATTAAAACAGTGTTCACACAATTATTAAAGTATTGGAAAACATCGTTCAATGTGATATTCTTTTCAGGCCTTTTTGGTTTCTACTCAAGCCATTTCAAATGCTAAATTCATTGACATGTGCAATATGCACTTGCACACATGACTTGTGTGTGTGTGTGTGTGTGATTTATAATTCACAATTGGGAAAATTTATGGTTCGATGCCTGTTTGTTTACGTTTGGATACCATGTATATGATGTTTTGTAGCAGATTTATTGCTGTTGAAATGGATACCATTTGCTGATGCAATTTGTGGAGTATGAGTAAGCCACCCATACAATTAATGGTTAATTTTGAGTGAGAGTATAATGATAGATGACCCACAGTGATTACTACTTGTGATTTAACTTTTGATTATTATTGAGGAGTTGAAGACATAGATCTCCACTAGTGCCTTACTTTGTATACCTTGTAATAAGTGTTTTCCTATTTGTGAAAAACGAAATAACAGTTGCTACTTCCTTTCATAGGAAACCTAGGTATTTTCACATTTATTATTCCCAGTCACCTGGCGACTTATTATTATCACTTGCTAGCCACAGTGAGGCTGTCATAGATTTCATTTCACTAACATTATAATATCTCTTGGCATAGCCTAGAGCTCGATGTTGATAGCATTCTTTATGATCTTTGAAATAATAGATAGCAGTGCGATCGGTCGGTAGTTGCTCGGTAGGGTCTTCTTGCCTTCTTCAGGAACTGGTTGTACTCTTGCAATTTTTCAGTTGGACAAGAATATCTTCAATTCGTAAGAGTAGTTGAACAACTTGCAGAGAATAGGTGTTAGTTCGGGAGCACATTTCTGGAGAACAATCGATGGGAATCCGTCGGAGCCATAAGCTTTGTTGGTGTTGAGACCCAATGAAATCTTCCATATAGTACGTTGGCGAAAGGTGATCTCGAGCATATGACTTCCAATTGGCGTTATGTTTGGAGGTTGTTTTCCCGATGAATCCAGAGTGGAATTTCCAGCAAATAAATGCGCAAGAATGTTGCCTTTCTTCTGGGCAGTTGTGGCTAGTATTCCATTTTCCTTGGTTAGAGGAGGAAACGAGCTGGAAGTGAAGTTTCGGCTCAAGTTTCGTTTAGCTGTAAATCAGTTATGGAAAAACTGTTGCCATGGCAACGATCGTCATGGTAACGAATAAACAAAAATCATATTCACGTGGTGAGGAAATGCGTGGTTGCCAAATTATATCGGGTTTAGTATAGCTGAAATCAGTTATGGAAAAACTGTTGCCATGGCAACGATCGTCATGGTAACGAGTAAACAAAAATCCTATTTCCTTGGTGAGGAAATGCGTGGTTGCCAAGTTGTTTCGGAGAAATATTGCTTCATTCATTAATTTCAGAAACACTCTTCAATGTAACTATCCTTCGCGTGCCGAGCTATTCGACAAAACCAAAAAGAAACAGAGTCATTTTGGAATATTCACATTTCCATTTCATTTCGATTCACTCATACCTTTCTTCACGCGAACATTTTGATTCAGCAACAGTCTTCAAACATACACAAACGATGCCTTGCTACCAAATCTGAACGATGTTGAAAAAAAAAGTTTTTCAAGAAGAAGGTTGATTTAAGTCGAGTCAGGTCAGATTGTTTGGAAAAAGTAGTGTCCTTTTTAATGCAGTCTTCAAACACACACGAACGATGCCTTGGTACCAAATCTGATTAAAGTTGAAAAATATATTTTTTCTAAGAAGGTTCATTTTAGGCCGAGTTAGGTTAGATTGTTTAGAAAAAGTAGTATCCTGCCTTATGCGCTATTTTTTTCGCAATATTTTGTCGCTCGCTAGCTTGTCTAGCCCTGTTCAATAATAAAGCCTATTTTTTCCTGACGTTATTTCCATATATCATTATGACTGTCAGAGAAATAGTAATTTGGGAATTAATCAACGACGAACAGTCTTCAAGAAATTGATAAGAAGGGTATTCATTCGAATCAAGTTATTGTATGAATACTAGCAAGAACTTTTGTCAAAACAAAATTTGAGGGTAGAAGATTGCCCTGATTTTTCCATTTATTGATTAAGAAATGTCACAAGAGTGTCAGTTCAAAATGTCTTCGTTTGGCGAACTTGCCCTGATTTTTCCATTTATTGATTAAGAAATGTCACAAGAGTGTCAGTTCAAAATGTCTTCGTTTGGCGAACTTTCTCTTCCGAGAAATCAGATAGAGTTATGAATATGCTCTGAGTCAATGTTTGGTGCCAGCAAAACCTTATTGCAAGTCCAAATTAAAGGGACACAAATATACGGGAATATGATTTTTGTTGACTCGTTACAATGGCAATAGTTTTTCCATAACTGATTTCAGTCAAGCTAAACCCGATACAACTTTTCAACCACGCATTTCCTCACCACGGGAATCGGGTTTTTGTTTACTCCTTACCATGACGATCGTTGTCATGGCAACAGTTTTTCCATAACTCATTTCAGCTATACTAAACTCGATACAACTTGGCAACCATGCATTTCCTCACCACGAGATTTTGTTTTCTGTTTACCTGTTACCATGACAATGGTTGCCATAGCAATAAATTTTCCATAACTGATTTCAGCTAAACGAAACTTGAACCGAAGTTTCTTCCTACAGCTTTGGCGAAGGACCAAAAAGCACGGGATCCATTAGGACATTTGTGGGGGACGTGTGTACAGGAACAAGTAGATACTAGGTATAATACCAAAGCAATGATCTCTTTGATTGGATATCTTTCATTTTATTACGAAATATTCGATGACATTTCCTTTTAAAATATTCAGATTATGCTAGACAATGTCAAAATCAATTATTCGAATAAAAATCTATCTTGACAACCTAAAACTTCTAGATCCTCTAGATTGCTGGTACAGGGTGATGCAAAACTAACACGAACAAAACCGAAGCAAACCTCTACAACATTCAACAAGTATTTTGGCATCATGAGCATTCTTTGATGGTCGAATTGTCTGATTGCATATGCCTCTAGCCTCGACATATTCTGCTCAAGACTCAGGGCCTGGATTTTTCTGCCATCGATGGAATGCTGCCTGTTTGGAAGCGACAGCTCTAGAGCAGTTTCTACTGAACCAGGCCTTATCGGAAGATGTTCTCCTTGCAGTGTTTGTTATGTAGGTTTGGAATCCCAACATGATGATTTCAGAAATTGTCTCAGCACATCGTGTTGGATCTGATGAGGAGAAACAAACTCTCTTTCATGGAAACGCTGAGAAAAACATACAAAGACCTTCCCAGTCTGCCGAATTGTAATGCCACATGAGACGGGTAGAAATTGTGGTGCTGGATGGTATAGTTTATCCAAAAACGATTGCAGAGTCTCGTACCACACCTGCACTCAATTCAAAGGAAACTTCAAACACGCCGACACCTCACAGTGCGGGATATTCTGCAATTGGTATTGGATATACTTCACAGAGTTTCCAAGTGGGACACAAACTTCTATTCTATATGGATCAGGATTACTGGTGAGAAAAAGATCTGGTGTATTGGTAGACTGGCTGTTGACATCTGGAATACGGGTTGGCAGTTCGACTAGTTGTTCTAGACCATGAGTGATGGCGAAGGCCTCAGTTTGGCGACCTGCATCATCTGTTTTGTTAGAGAATTTGAGTCAGGCTGCGTTGTGTACATTGAAGTCTCCCATGATCATGATCTCAGCTGTTGTATGGTTCTCCTGAATGAAGTCCTGTTTGAATGATAAAAACTCGAAGAGGGTGTTAAATTCATTATTATTAGGCGATAGGTAAAGGCAGCAGATTAATTTGGTCAGTTTGGTATCGACTAGCTTGAACCACATCACATCAAAGTCTTTCGGTTTCAAACTCTCTACACGCTGGCATAAAAGGTTTGCCTTAGCGTAGAGGCAGATTCCACCTTTGAACCTGAATCGAGAATGGAGTTCGTTACCAGGACAGAGCATATGGACCATGTTGGTGGACAAGTTAACTTGAGTTTCTGTTAGTTCCAGAATATCTGGTTTTTTCATTTGTAGATGATGGTGGACGTCATTGATGTTTTTGTTCGCGGATGTTGACGAAATCAATCTCCAGAGATAAATCCCCTCGAGTTCATCTCGCCCGGAAATCCGAATGGAGAGGTATTCTTCTTCCGGAGTATTTCACTCCAGGAGACTTCATCATCTTCATTCATAGAAAGGAGAAACTGGGAAAAGGGGTGGGGGAGACCGGAAAGTATCGACCGAACACTGAAACATGGAATGATCCATTTCACAGCACACAAAGTCGATATGGTGGTATTTCACCGGGCGATGAGACCATCTTCCACCTAAAGTTATTCTTTTAGTCGCCTTTTACGACAGGATGAATTTTTCATGGGGCGTTATTCTGAGCCGCCCCCGTACGACAACCGCCTCCATACAGCACGTTGCAGAAATAACATAACAACTCTGTCTGAGATATATCTGATGAACCTAAAATCAACATATCACAATATGATCTCATGATATCGATTTCAATATTGATGCAACGTCCCATATACGTTTCACCTCATAATTTTATCTTGGATACTTATTCAGAAGGACATTACCACAATTTTATTTCAACAATATCACAAAACTTATAACTGAAAAATATTTTTGTTATGTATCATGTTTAGTGGGATACATTTTCACTATCTGAAAAAATAAACAGAAACCAGCAAGAAGTGTATATGAACTGTTAATAGAACACCATATATATTTCCCCACTATTGGAAAGACTCTAATATATTTTTCGGCAACCGCCCGGGAAGTGATCACCACAGGATTGATAAGCCAATGTCTAACCACTGTGCTACTAACCGTATTGGATCTTTTTGTTAAATAAAAAGAATGTTCTGCACTGAATGTTTGGCAGTCTAGAGAAAAAGTAAAGTCGGTCGACTGGTCGGCATCCAAAAAAAAGTATAGACTACCGACCAGTCGGCATACCATACTTTTTGTCAGGTTGCCGACCGATTATTCATACAGAAAGAATTTATTCCACTGAATGGTCGGCAATCTAGAGAAGATGTTGAATTTGCTGACTGACTGGTCGGCAGTTTATTCACTTTCCTTTAAAAATGCCTCACACTAATGAGGAAAAATGTGATATTCTGCGATTATTCAGAACATCGTGATATTACTATTGACCAGTGACTCCACTGTTGACATTAGTCCGGAAAGTATGGGGACTACTATTTGTTCGGCATTCTTGTAGAATAATAAATCAATGGAAAAAGTGACTAGGTATGTTTACATTTTCCATCTCCTATATGTTAATTTTCAACATAGGCTATATTACGAATTCAACTGGTCGTTATACTGTCAGTAAATCCACTGACGCTGCTGAAATAAATAATCAAAGATACAGTGTTGTAATTCGGTACACGTTTTCATCAGTAATCAGCAGCAGTTGATCAGCAGCAGTTGATCAGCTGAACAATCGTTTTGTGACATTGAATATGATATTATTAATTTATTATTGATAAGACAAGGTTCAATGTCTATATAAAACCGAAAAAAATGTGGAATTCTTTTTCCCCTCTGAAATAATGACAGTTCACCAAAGCCACATTACCTTTCGATAATCAGCAATTCCATCAGAATGTTGAGTCGGAATATTTGGAATGAATAGTATGTCTGCTCACAAGTAAGTGAAATTTTTGTTGATTTCGGAATAGAAATTCAGCAGATTTGGTACTTTCAGTTGGATTCGGAATAAAGCCAGAAAGAACATGCTCCACAGTGTAGAGGATTCCACAGTTTCAGATTTTTGTGCCCATTCATGCAAAATTACATTCCTTGTAATATGAAGTTAGGCGCGCATTCCTTAGATCCCATATCCATCCAGTTCGTGAAACAAACCATACACGTTTTCGTACCAGGAATTTTGATTTCCCAAGCAATAATTGGGCTTCAGGGCAATAGCAGCTGCTGTGCCTCGGAAATATCGTGAGGTACATTTTCAAACTCACTATCGCTGCAACTTTCCATTTTTTTTATCGCTTGAAAGGGAATCCCTATAATGTTCAAAGAACATCGTGCGTTCCTAGGGGGGATAGGAACAGGAGGTAGGTATTGGAATTGTTTTTGAACTTCTGGAGATTATATGTTGTTGGGAATACTTGCACAGGCAATGAATTCCAGAGCCTAGCCGTTCTATGGATGAAGGAGTCTTGATAAAGTGCTGTTCGACATCTTTCGAGGTTGACAACAAAAGGATGTGCTGACTGGGCTTGTCTAGTTCGTCTGATTGGTATTGCTAGTGAGGGAATGATAGCAGAGATTACCGAAGAACATTTCCCGTGGAAGTATCGATAGAAAAGTGGAAGGTCGCCGACCTTTTTACGGTGTTCCATAGTTTATAACGATAACTGCGACGAAAACCCATGCGAACTTCCAAAGATCAAAATGTCAACTTATTTATGAGCAAATGCATTTATCGAAACCATACCTAGAAAGATTCTTATATTCACAATGATTATTTCATTCACACCTGGCTGCACCTATGAAATGTCATGATTGAAGTCACGTGATATGCGATATCAGCGGATATTTAGGTTTACAAACATAAATATAAGCAGCTATTCTGTTCGACAGTATGAGAGTGCTATGATTGTCAAAGTTTGATACTAGTACGTTTTGACATTTTATATCAGTCACTTAAAACTTGAAATGTCTCGTTTTGGGTATACTTCCACGGCAAAAATCAGCAGTGATTATGTAAGCGAATCAATATCAGAAAACACCAAGAAGAGTAAAGATCTGTCTGAAACAATTTTTGGTGTTTTGCCAGCAAAAAAACTATTAATTTTGTGCGACTCTACCCCAACTCTCGTGATCACCAAAATCCTGGAAGATTGAGTGGAGAGTATGGTGAGGAATATGGAGAGTACACAGTTGAATTGATATGGAAAACTTTACAGGAAATATACTCCTGAACATGAACGTAAGATGAATCCATTTGAAGATATTGAATTCAGAGGTGCCAGAGATGCGCATTATGCGAAAAAGCAAAGCCTGCCATATTTTCCTCAAACAAGAAAAAAAAAGTTCAGAAGCACTATCTTAATTTGAATCGTATTTTTATACAGTTCATGAAATAATCTTCCTGAATATCACTCGATCATGACAAATAGAGAACAATATTATTATGCCCTTGTTATAATAAATAATAGTCGGATATTTGTCCTAGTCTGGAATATCACATCACTGATCACATAATCTCCAATCACAAGCCAGAGGCAACTTTTTTGATTATTTGAAATATCTGTGTTTTTGTATTCTGGCTGTAGATTGACTGCTAGATACCCGAATATGCTGTGTTTTCGATTTAGTATTCCACTTGCTCATTGGTAGCATAGATTGAACAAACCTTGGTAGTTTGATCAAATTATAAAACAAAATTACTTACATGCGCGAACTGTCCTGGACATGAATATTTTCATATTCAGGAATAGATAGAACTCAACACTTAACTGCAGACAAAATCGTCATAGGTACCGAATGTTAATTTTTATCGAGAAATGTTAGACCAACTTTGTATGATCGCATTTTAAAGACTTCTCGAGTCACAAATCAACTTGACACTAGCGTCTAGACTCTAGATTATAGGCAACCACACTCGCGCTTAGCCCTCGTGTAGTTGCCAAGCAACATAATTTGTTTCTCAAGATCGAAGGGATTTGTATTTCGATTTTCATCAATATACTTGTTCAATTACATACAAAAACATAAGCTGCTTTTCAATACTAATTGGTTTATCAGCGTTGATGTTTTTAACGATGTAACCATGGATAGCGAAGCAAAGTCTGGATATAACCGTGCAGCAATACCACTCGTCCTGACGGATTTGTGGTGTTGCTCGGCAACACAATTTCGTGAACAATGAAGCGACAGAATTATCTCGAATATGCAGAACATCGTGATATTACTTATGACAACAACAATGTGATTCTCCCCGACCTAGTCTGGAAAATACGTACTTCCCGGAATAGTTCAAAAAACAATACTTTCTCAAAGAAAAAGCATCCGGAAATTTCTATAATCTCACCTCTTGCGTAACTTCGGCTGCAGTACCGGCATTTTCGTTCGGAACAATTTCTTCCTCAGATTGTTCAATTCGCCCCAATTCGATGAAGCCGTTATCGAAGATGCCCACGTGGTGTAGTTGGCCGCGCATCCAGGAAGCCTTTCTTCCTCCTGTTTCTCCTCGAAATAGGTGACGACGGAGTTCAGAACTCCGTCAAACTCCTTTTGGAGGTGAAGTATCCCCAATTCGCACGGGATACTGTCTATGGCGCAAGCGCTTAGAATGTATACACCTGTCAAAAGTATGTGAATAGTTTCATCAAGAGTGCCTTGAACATCTCATTTCATGCCGTTTCAAAGAGTGAGGACACGCTTGACACCACTGACATTTTCGAATTGTTATTATTCTCAGATTCAAATCGTCAGCTCTTGAAATTGAACAGGCGTCTCTGCGAAAATGTTTTAGAATTATATGTCTCGTTCGGTAACGAATTGCAAAAATTCTGAGAATTATGGTTACCATTAAGGTATTTGAGTGGTCCGAAGATAAAAAGACAACTACGAAATGAGCATTATTAGTCTTTGGTGTTTCCTTTGGTGTTACGCCGCTGTTTGGGTTTCAAACAATAATGTGTCTGCACTCATTCAATGGATATGTTCAGGAAAATGGCATTCGATCTCTCATGATATTTATTTATGTATCAAGAACGAAACAATGTATTTTATAATCAGTCTGAAAATTGATAGTCAAGGCTTCAGCCAAGGCTAGTAATCAGGCGAGAGAATAGACAGTTTTTCGTCGAGGTGCAAATTACATTTTTTGTCGACCTCAAACATTATATTCACATCACGGTCCCATTCACACGTGAAATCTATCGTATTTCGTGAATAATTGATTTGACAACAGCAAATGACAGTTGTTCTCATACTCAACTCACTCTCCGCGCGGACCAGGGTTGTCAGTTCGATTTTTATTTCATCAATAAATACCTTGTCGAATATCCAGTGGATTTCAATAGATCTGTTTAACCTATGACGTCGAAACATTATGTACTTTTAGTGAACCCTTCCAAAAAAATAGAAACAAACAAAACAAACATTCTCATACAAAAACAATCATATTCCTAATTCTCAATTCAAATACAAAGTATATAAAAAACAGAAACGTATAGTTTAGAGGAACGACAAAAAATTAGAACAAATAAAAAATTTGAAGCTAACAAACTGTGAAAACTTCAGAAACGATAAGGTTTCCACAAAATTCTTAATCCCACAACATGTTCCGCTAACACAGTAGCTTCATCTGGTGGAATGATTAATAGGGTTATTTCATTGTAAACAAGTAACAAACTGTTATAACAGAGGTATACAGGATGTTCCTTAATAATTGAAAATATGCATAGATTTTTGTCCACCTGTATAGCATTTCGTGATAGAAGAATTCAGTCTGTTATGTGAATGAATAGGTGCGAAAATTTCAAGATGTTACAAACTGTGGTTATCCAGTAATTGATATCCTGAATGGAGTATTCAGCTGAGCATTTACATCAAAATTTGAAGTCTGGTCTCGTTTTTCCGTTCATTCTCGAAAACGGAGTACTCTATCGAGTATCAACAGAACGATCTTTTTTGTAAGGAATTTAATGGCGTTTCATAGGACTGTATGAAATTTGGAAATTTCCCTTCGTTGCTCACTTTCAAGTGAAATATAAACAATAATATCCCTCAAACGGCGCCACTGGTAGAGAAAATGAAAATTTGTGTACATTAGAAAATGCACCTTGATGCATAGAAGACTGTACCGACTCTGGTGAAGATGTCTAAAATATTATCTCAGTTGTTATCAAAAAGATGTTTTTTTTTATCAAAACTTTATCGCCCTGTATCTCAAAAGTTGAGACTTTTAGGACATACTTCATGGAAAGTTTTTATCTTGAAATGAGTCAAAGAATCAACCCCTTCAAATATCAGCATGTCTTCAAGGAACACCCTGTATAAAAAATTCAATTTGATCCAAATCAGATGAAGTATTGCCCTTGATTCATTGCCCTTGATCAATACATATCATTTGTACCTCTATGTACATTTATTATGTATTTTGTAAAACAAATTTGAACAGAGCGTGCCGAAATATCATGTAATTTATGTGGTGTATGTGATTTACCAGAGGTTGATAATAATATAGGTGATTATTATAATATATAAAAGTCAGAATATTGTTTCAGTAGATCAGTATATCAGTATGCAAATCAGGAGATCTACTGGAAATTTAGTCTAACTGGCAACACTGCAGCGGACGAAAAGTCTTTGCGGACAAAAAGTTAGTGTCTGTGGACGAGAAGTAGTTACCTCCGAAAATAGTCGGATTTTTGTTCGGAAATTAGAACTAAAATGTGATTTTTTTGTAGAGTTCGAAGAAAAAACATATTTGTGTCTCTGTTAAACAACATGACAAGCGTGTCCTCACTCTTCGAAGAGCATAAAAAGAGATGCGAGGCACTCTAGTTTCATACATAATCACCTCATTGAAGTTTTATCCACACTTTAAAACCGTATAAAAAACCACAATCCCTCTCATTGTCTCGTTATTTCATGATTGTTTTATCATCGTGTGTCTGAGAGCAACATAAAACATATTCCGAAGGCGATTAGAGACGTGTGTTCGTTTATTTTGTGATTTCATGTTTTTGGTTCTCGAGTACTTGGTGTGAGACACTGTCGTGTCTGTGGATGTAAGAAGTTAATCGACTTAATAAAAACATACATTTGAAATTTTTGTGGCCGGACATCATTCGCCATTTCATTAGAGAAAAAGCGCTAATCCCGAAGATTCTGATAGGATAATGGAACAAAACTATCAAATCATGTCATTGTCATCGGTCCTTGATAAGTGTACGAAGTCCCAATTTAATTCGACGTTTTTGAGTGGTTCGAAAGCACTTTCGAAAATTCCGTTACAAGCATATGCAAACATACATACCAAGCAAGAATAAGCATGTTGATCAAAAACATATGAAATAAATAGTTATTCGTGTGTCTAGTAAACTGAGTGCTACTTTGGTGATCCAGAACTGATTTTTTTTAACGATGCGCAGCCACGTTGATAAGAATAGTCGTCCGATGTATAAATGACTTGGAACGAGCCATACCAGGTAGATTATGCCAGAAGTCTTGAACTATTCTTCCCGCTATTCTTGCAGTACATTTATTCAGTGTATGTTTGGCATAACTTGCAAATGGTAGGTTCTGGTCCAATGAAACTACCTGTGGACCCTCCCTTGCAAGGGAATCTGCCCTTTCGCTACCTCCCATACCAGAGTGGCCGCGAATTCAAACCAGAAACAATTTGCTGAGTCTTCCAATCGCGGGGAGTCTCTTTTGGCAGTTCAATTGAGCTCTCTTCTACATTCAACAAGAGAGAAGAAAGTTCTCTCCTCTTTTACTTTCTCTTCAATGCTATCAACCTGGGCGCATTGAGATATGGAGAGGTCCGATAAATCTTTCTGTCTTACCCCTAGTCTGCGCCACTGAACTTTTTTCGATCGCGAATAATGATATTCTCTTCTTCTGAACTGACATATTTCACTTAGGCTGAACTGAATCAGTTAAGATGCTCTCTAACTAATCAATTTTTTCCGACTGATTCAGTTCAGTTCTAGTGAGATTCCAGCGAGCACAAACATCCCTGGGATGTTTTGGGATGTTTTGAAAATGTTGGCATGATGATGTTATTTCGAGACGTAATATGCACTGACCAAAAAGGTCTGAGGCATGAGGATGTTTTTTTGAGGCGTAATATGCACTACCCAAAGAGGTCTTAGAAGGATATTGAAAGTATTGTTTTTGTTCTTTTGTGTCCTTCCTTTGTTTGCCCCACCACAACGTCTCATGCTTACGTCACAATACGACGAATTCTGATTTGTTTTTGATTTTGTTCTTCTTGTTCGCAATTGGCATTCGCGTTTGCAGCGTGTCACGCTTACATCACGCTGCTAACGAACAGAAAGGATTTGGTGAAGTTTATTGTGTTAGAAGACTTATTTAGTTTGTAATAATGACCATCAGATGCAAGATGTGTTGTTCGGTTCCTCAGTGTAATCAATATATAAAAGTACGAATTCATCAATACACAGCTTCTTCGCAGTTGCAAAATTATGCATTGTAGAGAACTCCAAAAATTGGGAAACCTATTCCCAATTATATGTCTGTGTGTAGTAAGCACTACTCAGAAACCGATTAAGAAGGTAATTTCATATCAAGAAAATATTTTTATGTTCAATCTATTTTTAATGCATTTTTCCATTCAAGAGAAATGGAAATGGAATGCAAAAGTTCATTTTGACAAAAGGCTTCAGAAAAGTACCTTGAAAATGGTTTTTTACAGCGATTTAATGTGCGCAAGACGCGCTGAAAATGTTCTGTTGTGTCCATGAAAAGGCTTTAAAAAGGACTAGGGAGAAGGTAGTTTTGTGAAATATCAAGAACATCTCGATAATTTCCGCCTGCGGCGGACATTGGCTGTTCTATAATAGTTCTATTCATGTGTGAACAGAACATCGCAGTGGAGGTTCAATATCTCGAAATCTCGTACTTTCAACATCTCTGAGATGTTTTTGTGCTCGCTGAGATATTTCGTTTTGTTCAGATTATAATGATGTCTACAAATAGAGAGAAACTCAAAGTCATCACCACAATAGTTCATAGAATGAACGATAATGGTAGATAACGAGAGGAAAACAACTACTTTCCTGGCTATATGCCACGCAGAATATTGGACTACATCCTCACGAAATCTATGCAATAGTTCGTATAGACGAATAAAATCGCAAGTGTTTCCTTCCTAAACTCTGAGCTGCGCCTAAGTGGTTCAGAAACGTGTGACTACCCACAGAATACTCAACAATTGTTGAGTATTCTGTGGACTACCTGCAGACCGGTTTCGAGCTGTTGGCTCTCATCAGTACAGGGCTGTCCCAGATAGTTTCTTGACCACCATCTGGTGCGAACCTGACCTACGTAAACGCATCTCAGCATTTATACCCAACGAGGCGTTCCATGTCCGCGAAATGAAACGCGAACGCCGAACGCCAAACGCCACCGGATAAGAAAAGAAACACTCCAAAACAAGATCACATTTCAGGCGAAATGGGAGTGGCTCGTTGCCCGACTGGCGTATTTTCAACTAGGAAAAAGCCAAATACTCAAAGTGAAATGCAATGGTTTCAAATAGAGAGAAACTCAAAATCATTACCACAATAGTTCATGAAATGAACAATAATGGTAAATAACGAGAAAAAAACAACTACTGGCTATATGCCACGCAGAACATTGGCTTTTTCGTAGTTGTTAATAAGGATGTGATATATTTGTCATAAATGTCATTGACTGATAACCTTTCAAATGTTTTGAATGAAATTTCAGATTATATCATCCTTATTTTGAAATCTTTTGTTAATATCGTTAATTTGGCACTGTTGAATTTGAAAATATTTCAATGGCACAAACTAGATGTTAAACAAGGAAAAATTTATCTGACGTCTTTATATTTCCATGCGGCACGTTGGTAGCAAAGCTGAAAGAGGAGAGAACTTTCTCCTTTTTGTTCTAGGTAGAAAAGAGCTCAATACCATTCCAAACATAGATGGGTTTGAGCTGAGTGCTTTCAGAGCCGCTTGGCTACTTTACCGCCTGACGTATAGTTAACTCGTAATAGGCATACCTGTACAATTCAATTTATGTTATAGTTGTGATGATGAATCATCATTATCTAGTATTATAGTTCTCTTGTTATTCCAGAGATGCAAAATAATATGATCGAACCCAAAATAAGTTATCTGTGATGACATTGATTGACAGCGAATTTAAGGGTACACTCCTATTTCAAAAAATGTACTCACTTACACGCTCCATATAAGCATATTTTACGCCCTTACATAATTTCTACTACTACTAAATTTTGCTATATGAAATTAAAACATTACATGGACTACCTACGAACAATATAAGTGCAGCGTTGCATAAGGAACTATCAATGAATTTTCAATTAGAATGTTGCATCTAAATTGATATCTCATTGATTTTGTGAATATCATAAACTAACTGCGAATGATATAGCTACAACGTATGAGATGCAACACATATTTGATTATAAATTGTAATTCAGCTGGAATATACAAAATGCTTCATTGTGTATCGATCATTCCATTCCATGAAATACCTACGCGCAGACTCAAACTTGCCACCTCAGATCTACGTCGCCACGCCATAATTATTGGTGTTTGACTCGGTTACAGGTATTTCGTTGTTGTACATATCCAAATGGCAAATAATACCAATAATTAGACTTTGCAACATGAATTAAAGTAAAGTCGTGGTGATCTGGCGATATGTGATATTATGCACTTGGGAGGATTTGAATTGCAGTAAGCAGTTGGTGGTTAGGTAAGTCGCATCAGTTATTCTAGATAAGGAATACATTTTACAAATTTATACATCGTTTTGATCCAAGCGGATCGTTCGATCAACATTGAATAAGATAGAGTGACTATAATTATCCAGAACATTTTAGGTAACCTCAATTAAATATTACAATAAGATTAGATAATATGTTCAGTGGATATAAAATTTTACTGTACTTCATATACCGGAAATTATGCGCAAACAATCAAGGGGGTGATTCTACATGATGAAATAAGAAATTAATTTCATATGAACCTAAGTCCCAAAATGCATAGTTTTCAACATACAGTGTGTTGAAACTTTTGAAAAAGATCGTTTTTTTATGAATATCTGAAATGTCTTTCCACCGATTCTCTTGAAATGAAGCAATAATATTTTTTGTCATGAGGGGCTGATATACCCATAATTCAATTGGAATCTTGGACTCCAGTGGCGTGAAGAAAATGAATCTCCATTCCTATTCTACGTCTATGGACATGAATCACACATTTAATTTCACCCCTGTTTTTGAAGCAATGTTTCGCACAAATTCAAACAATGAATTGGTATTTATTTTTTTCCACGGAAACGCGGCAGAATATCAAAACAAATCAGGTGATCAAAATGTTGTATTTTTAGTTAATCATCAGGATATGAAGATGAAGAATTCAAAAAAATCAGTGGCGCACATTTTATTGACAATAATATTTCGTAGGGTGCCCCAGGGACGCCACTGGATTCCACAATTCCAATTTAATTTATGGTTGAATCAGCCGCTCATGATGGAGAATATCATTGCCAAATTTCAAGGGAATCAGATATTTGAGATATTCATAAAAAAACGATTTTTTTTGAAGTTCAACACACTGTATCTTGAAAACTATGCATTTCCGGACCCAAGAATATATGAAATAAATTTCATGTTATCACATGCAGAATCACGCCCTTGATTTTTTGCGCATAATTTCCGGACAACCTGTATAATGTTGCATAACTTCGCTGGAATAAATCACATTTATAATATTGCTGAACGTCCGTTTCAGTAGTTGCTGCGATCTTGCAGTAAGATAGCGACAAAATCTGATGTAATATTACATATTACATTGAAATACTGCTGCAATATTGTTGAGATATTACTTTGCTTAGTGGGCTATTTTGTGTGAGGTTGGTATCCTCCAATCTCTCCACATACAAATATCAAAGGCTCAAATTTCCGCTAGAAATACAGTTGCATTGGACCCAAGACAGATTAATATCTCTGTCCTACGTCTACGACCGTCGGTAGTGTATATACACCGACTTATAAACTAACCTAGACGGCCAATTCTTTTGGAAAAAGTGAGCCACTTGAAGATCGAACTGGCGAAACTGATTCATGCACATTTAGGAGCTGTCATGACGTTACACTCATGAACTCGACGAACATAGACGTATCCAAGGAAAAAGGTTGGGAAGGGTCTACTATGGGAAATTGTTGAACTATATACATAAAGTAGTGAGAAATGAATGGAATATGATGTATTCAGGTCTCATAGCTTGCAATACCCAGATTTAAGAACTCTTTCTCAGAAACGGCGAATTTACATATGGTTTCAATGTCTTGAACTTGCCTGGAAGCATCACAAAGCTATCTGGTGTGAATTAGTTCGAACATGTTATTCCTGAGTGGCAAAGATCCAATTTTCAGTCCAACATAGTTGAGCAGGTATGGGCACCTCACGCCTGAACTCAAATTCTTCGCAACTGAATGAATATACAAAACATGCATGATATCATTCGATCTAAATACTTGCTCAAGTCATGTAAGCAAATCAAAATAATGGATTGTTCATCACCCACAAACTCATCAATGAAAAGAAATACCTTTTGGTATTATTATTCATAAAATGCTCACACCAAAGAACAAACCACTTCATATTTCCTAGGATTGGCGACAATTGAACGTAAAAGGTAATATCACTTCTTGATTTTGATATAATATTCTCATCAAGTCGACCACTGACATTAATGAAACACTTGAGATGACGCCTATGAACAAATTGGATACTAGGTTGACTTCGATACCACGTCAAAGTCATGCACGACAGCTTCGGGGTTCTTGCGTGTTGAGCAGAAGCGTTTTCGTGCGAGCAACTGACCCTACATTTTCGAGTTGCTAAGATATGACTACTAGCAGTCTAGATAGATTAATACTCCGGTGGTATAGAACCAGCAGTTAGTAGTTCTTTCTATCGGAGGAACCAGTCATCTCTATTCGGAATTAGGGCGGTGTAAGGAAGGTCATATAGACTGAGTATATACCTTGATTGAATATCCATTGGACATCCTGTGTTCCCTGGAGTTTAACTCACCGTTTCTTTCAGCATCCTCATGCTTTTCCAGCTGGAGTTTTTCCATGTATTGGGGTTCGCCGTTCACATCTACCTGATGAGTGCCAGCCTTGATGCAGGCTTCAACTACAGGTCTTCCCAAGGATCTGAATGGTCCACAGCAGTTCAGCAGCACCTTAGTCTTTTTGGCCATGGCCAACAGCGATTCTTCGTTAGTGACATCTGCGACAATGACAGGAATACGCGAGAAATCACGACCTGTAATGGACATGTTACATCATGAAAGAAGAAAGATACCGGGGTAACTTCGCTACGGTTTTTTATGTTTTTCTCAAATAAAACTTGATTTTCAAAAATTAGTGTGTTTTGATCACTGTATGGCGATTTACCAACACTCCAAAGTTGGAAGTGTCCCAGTAGTACCCGCCATTTGGAGGTAACTTTGGTACAGTGGCATCTATATGAGAATTTCAACGATACGACCCTTTGCCCTAAAGATAGACATTGCAGAACAAAGAGAAATGAAATAGCAAGCAAAAAAATGTTTTTTTCTGTGACGGGAAAAAAGTTTGGCATTTCATCCCTGTTGGCAGGTTATAAAATGTCACTTTTCATGAATTACTTTTTTCCCGTGGGAAAAAAGTGAGTACTTTTTTCCCGGATATATATCACATATACAGTGTGTCCACCTTAAGGACTAACCACCCCTGTAAAATTGTTATTATCTGACCGATTTCAAAGAACTTTTTCTTGTTGGATAGGTATTTGAAATGTCCCTCCAACAAGAGAATGATTTCACTCATGAACTGTAATCGTGGCCAACTGCGACCAACTTCATTTACCCATATTTGAGAAAGTACTATTAGGATTTTTTTTTCACAAAAAACAATGATGGTTTCTGAATCACACCATTACTGATTTTTATCATCATAAAACACAGGGTGTCCGAAAAAACGAATTTTGTTTTTTTTTTAATAGGTGATCAGAAAATGTAGTATTGTGGAATTTTTGAAAAGAATTGATGACACATTTTTATTGATGATCACTTTGATATCTGTACCGATTTTCATCATTCAAAAATACGATGTGTATGAGAAAACAATTAAAAAGGAAAAGTAGCCAATATTTTCTCATGAACTCATGATTTTTCGAACACCCTGTGTTTAATGATGATGAAAATCGGTACAGGTATGTTCCAAGTGATCCTGATTCATTTTTCTATTTTGAGTGAAGAATTATCAGGATGAAAAATTTTGCTTACCTATCCTTTTTAATTTTTTTCTCAGACACATTGTATATTCAAAAGACGAAAATTGGTACAGGTATATTTGAAATAATGCTCAATGATAATTTGTGGTTATTCCTTTCTAGAAAAACCACAGAACTACATTTGCTGATCACCTATTTGAAGAAAACGATGATTCGTTTTTTCGGACACCCTGTGTTTTATGATGATGAAAATCGGTACAGTTATATTTCAAGAGGTACTGATTCAGAATCCATCATCAAGTTTCGTGGAAAAAAAACCCTAATAGTACTTTCTGGAATATGGGTCATTGAAATTTGTCGCAGTTGGCCACGATAACAGTCCAAGAATTAGATCACTCTCTCGTTGGATGGGCATTTCAAATACCTATCCAACAAAAAAAGGTTTTTTGAAATTGGTCGGATAATAAAGATTTTACAGAGGTGGTAAGTCCTTAAGGTGGACACACTGTATATACACTGTTGATGGCTTTCGTTGTGCTATAGTTCCGAAAAATGAGTCAATAATACCGTCTCCGAGAAAGAACTGCAAGTCCTTTTATCTTCCATTCGACTTCGCGGTTACGTATATGGTATGGTATGGTATGGTATAATGTTTATTTTATTGTATATTACTAAACAACCACTGAATTCGCAATTTTTTGAAATCAAATCACAGAATTAGACTGACAGAAGTGACATCAGATATTTGATTATTTCAAATGAATGATAAAGATACCTACAACGCGGTGTCTCTACTGTTAAAAACTTAAAATTTCACGTCGATAATTTTCACATTTCAAAATAATGTATTATCTTCTCGATATTGATTCGTCCGTTCTTCTGTCACAGAAAAAAATAGTGTATTATACACGGGAAAAATATTAGATTTTAGCTCCAGGTTGTGTTGTCTCCCCTTGTATAATAAATAACTATTTCCATTCCTTATGAGGAAGAAGAACATGATTAAAAATGTCCAAAGTTTTTTCGCTAGATAACAAACTTGAAATTTGCTAACATCTAAAATCATGACAAGATAAAGAAAGAAAAAAATCATTTCGTATTTTTTTCACATGCAAATAACTTGAAGGATATACAAGGTGTCCCTAAAAGGTCTTTAAACTCACCATAATATTCTTCAGATCAAAACATTCTGATGCAAGCAAAATCACCTCAGTACAAAGTTGTTCAGTTTGGGCGCTAGACAGATCTGAAGTTACAATTTTCAACATTGAAACGATTTACAGATATTTTTCAAAAATTATTGTTGAAAATTTTTATTATTTCTACGTATACAAAGATCAACTCGATCAAAGAATTGAAATTCGGCATAAACTATTTTTTGTAGATTTTTTTTTGTACTGAGTATGCCAGAGCCGTCTAGCGCCCAGACTGAGCAAATATGTACTGAGGTGTATTTGCTTGTATTCAATTCCTTTGCCGTATGAATCTCTATACATAAATCTTGAAAAATTTCCATGATATATATGTTGATCGTTTCACTGTTATCTGATTCTTCGAATTACTAAAATCCAAATTTTGTCGAAACCATGACAATCATCAAATTTCATCATGAGTACCTTTCTTGTAGTGAACAAGTTCCCAGGCAACAAGCTGACGTCATTTGACCTTTTTTATGATTCTTGGTCCGCGACGTGATATTGGAGAAGATGACGTGACTTATTACGTCATTTCTTCAACGTATTTTAAACGTCATAGTTACGACGTCAGATTGACGACAGTTTTGCGTCATTATGAAAAATCGACTTCATATTCACCTATAAGTATATACCATCAGGATTTGTCCTTTCATCTTAATGATCTACATCACAAATTTCAATCACAACATGTATGTATATTATGATCTGGAGCATCATATAGTACCCCTAGATGTCCCTACGCGTGGCGCTGAGTTGGCTGGTGTTGGCCAAGGGATGTGAGAAGATTTGTGGAGTGTTCGTCGCAGAGACCTATCTCCTAAGGCTAGGCCCTTTATAAAGGTAATCTCACTGTGGGTACCCAGTGGAGCGGGAGAATTGCTCATACGTGATCAGTGCAGGGAGTGTTTCCGGTTTTTGGAGGAAAAATAAAATGTAAAAACAAAGAAACCTCCTAATAGATATCGAACGACTAGTGCCTCACCTGAGAAGCTAGGGCGATGCCCATCAATATATCTTTGACTCTTTTGTACTTACTTAGTATCCATGAAGCATCATATTTCTTTCTCATCATTCTTTGTTTTGAAATCAGACAAACTCGACCTCGAATACTGTGGTACACGTCACTTCATCAAGATGGATATAATACGTTATAGTCACCAAAAGTCAAGTTGATAATCATACTTCTTCTGACGAAACTCTTCACGTAAGGCCAACTTGAACAAGCAGATATTTGCATTTTTCATGCCTAGTTCGATTTTCGTGGGTTCAAGAAGCTGAAGCAATCACTATTCAGAACATAAAATAATCGTTATTACAGTGGGATCGCCAGAATCTAACGATCTATGTATGACATCCAACAACGAATTCCGGTTTCGGTTTCAGATTATCGAATCAGATTCACGATTGATCGCCATTTGTGTCTTGTGACTGAGTGTTGGGCGTCGGTTAAGGACATCCACCGGACGGCCCGAGTAGTACATATTCTGGCATGACTTCAGATCTTATATAATGTCCCTTCTAGACAACCATGAAATGTCTCTGCACAGACGCCCTTAATATTCCCAGGATCGCATAACAATCGAAATGTCCCCTAGGGACATCCTTCGAATGTCCCTCAGGGATATCCGTCGAATGTTCTGATTGGTACATGAACTGTACTCTTCCAATGTCCTAGAAATAACGGCCTATGGACGTCCCAGTCGGTACTTTCAATATGTTGACCCTGCGAGAACTTTAACTTACACCTCGCCGACGAATGATCGCTTGTAGGCTATAAGTACTCCTCGTCAATGTCCTTCACGTAATTCCATTGGACATCCTTGGGAAACTTTTTGGGGACCTTCCACGGACCATCAACTCAACTAGATGTCCTAATCAGTTATGCAAGATCTGGTCCTAGAGGGATCCAGAAAAATTCAAATTCAAGAATAATTCGTACGTTCCTGAAACATCCTATGGACATCCAATTGATATCCCTCAGCGTTGCTGATAGGTCGTCCTATGGATGTCCTAAGTATGTCCTCTGTAGTGCTTGATGAGGAATTCTGTCTGATTTAGGAATTCGATAGTTGTCCCAGGGACATCCCTCAAGGACGTCCCTAGTTGGTTCTCAAGTGGGACATTTGTGCGTCCCACAGACGTCCAATGGAGGTTCACGGTACCAAATTCGAACGTCCTATGGACGTCCTGAATGTCACGACATGTCACGAATGTCCTGAGGATGTCCATGGGACATAAGTGTGTTATAAGGGTTGTGAACGAAATTAACAATACACATTTCCATAATTTCATCATATATTCCATCGAAGAGCGATATCGAAACAGATATGAAGGTAACATGTAGGTATCGATAAATTGTTCCAACAAAAATATGAATGCTGTCATGAAGTCGAAGAAGAACTACGAAGAACTACGAAGAACTGAACTACGTGGATAGAAGGAAATGAGAAGATTGAACTTAAGAAATAGCAAGTTCAATGATAGACAAAAGAATTAAAACGGAACTCACATTCAGAGTATACTTAATGGTTGAAAATGAAATGACTCCAACATTCCAAATCAAAATATCACTCCTGAATGCCTCGCTCAATTCCACACTTCCCACACTTCTAACCATTAGTTTTCGGAAACCCCACTCGATCACAGCACACTCAGAACTCACAATCGCATTCAACAAAGGAAATGCACGACGCACGAGATTACATACCGTATGGACTGACTTAATTCTGATAACTGCCACGAGGTGCACGCGGAGGGTGCCAATTTGCCATGAAAATTCTTGTTCGTTTGTACTCGAAGAAAATTCGTCAACGATCATTTTCTATTTCACTGTCAAAAGTCATTCGATAACAAGTTAAGGGAATATGATTAAAATTCACTCGTCTTTGTTAATTTTCAAAGGTTCAGACATTATTGTGAGTACAAGAAAACCAATAGAGGTAATAACTCATATACACCCAATAAAACGTCTCCACATGATGGCAAGTAGTCGTGTCCGCTATTTTTATACGTAACATGAGTTGATATGATAAGAAATTGAATAACAGTCATCAACTCAGAGATATTAAGGAAATTTAATGAGTGCTGTTTCCTCAGTGTACCTAATTCTGTTCCCTTTTGATGGAGGAGTGCTTCCAATTTCTTCTCTGATCGCCCTGCTATGCCCCAAGTAAGTGACCTTGAGCTGGCAATTTCATGGATGAGGGCAATCACATGTTTTCCTGTGAGACCTGTGGCTCCGAAAACAAGAAGATCCAGACGATCAGCAGCCATGCTCGATCTACAACAAGCAATTCCAAGCGTTACCTAAGGTTTTGTAGCAAAAGAGAGTGAACAGGGTGGCTGGAGATACGGGGTCGGTTGAATTATGGCAAAGTTGCGCAATTTCAACACAATGCCGTATCGAAACCTGTGAAATTCCGAATATTTCCGGAGATATCAGAAATTTACTAAAATATTTTATTTTTTTCTTCAATTCATTTGTTGAAATCAATCATCATAGTCATTTTTTCTTCCCAAAAAAGTTGGCATTTTCAAATTTGAAATTCGACGATCCGAAATTTCAGTTGTTTTCCAATATCTCTGAAAGTTTTCGGAATTTTCCAATCAATAAGGCATTTTTTCAGGCATGAAATTGCGCATAATGTGGCTCGAATTCCAGCCATACTATACAGTTATGTATGGATAATCCGAACAGAGAGTTGGCTGAACACGTTCGGTTTCCCAAAACTTCCAGATTAAAGACGTAAAACACAACCATTTTCGAGGGTAAATGTGACATGCTGTCGTTCAGAAGCTATTTTTAATTAGATACAATGCAGATACATGAAGTTTATAACTTACAGAACAACCAAACAATGGGCGAAGTAAGACTAACTTGGATTGAAGATTGATTGGTGTTCGGATTATAGGCGGTTCGGACTATCCATACAGTACAGTACCATGCAATACACATGGTCCCATAGCTGTACATCACATAGCTGTGAAGAAACAAACCTTACTCGATTTTTTTGGGAGAATATCACACCACTTCGAGTAAGAAGTGAGTAAAGAAGCTGCAGTGAACTCGAAATTGTTCATAATCACCAACGTGAGAATATTGGTAGCTTGTTGTTACATCTTTAGCCTCCAATATCACCGGAATTCAAACTAGTTCATTATTTTTTTGAGGTAATTTTGAATCAGAGATATTCAATGTGGACATTGATACAAGAGGAGAATTCTTTTCAACGCATGCAAAACGAAAATTCGAGCTGACATTGAAATAAAGACACTTAATTGCAACCCTAAGAATTTCAAAAAGTATATAGAGTGTCCGGAAAGGTCATGTTGTAAATAATAGGACCAATGATTGGATATGGATCGCTTGTCTGGTGGCCTAAGACTGAACAGAGATCAACTATAATGGAGCTTTCAAAACTCCAGAGATTAGCTTGTCTCTGCATCACAGGTGCAATGCGCAGCACTCCTACCACTGCTATGCAAACTATAGTCAATATTCCGCCTCTTGAATTCTCCATCAAGGCGGAAGCGAGGATGGGGGCACACAGACTGGAGTGTAGTGGTAACTGGCATGCTAGGGGTGACTCCCTGGGACATTCAAAAATTATCAGCCTAGTTTCAAGCCCACCAATGGAAATGGGAAGTGACAAAATGCTGCCTAGAAATAACTATCACAGACCCTTCAACACTCAGCTCTACTGGGATGAAATGGTCTTGACTAACTGTCAGGAAGGCACGTTAGTGTGGTACACTGACGGATCTAAGACTGATGGGGGTACGGGAGCCGAAGAGATAGATAGATAGATATATACTTTATTGTCCAAGAAGATTCTTATTGACAAAGTAAGTTATGAAATATAAATATAAATTTGGTCATATAATATTAAATATAAAACAGATAGGTGTAAATACAATACATACAGTCAAAATAAAGAATGAAAGACAGGAATTATTGACAATAGAGAGAATATCGTAAGAGGATATAGAGGTAAACAAATCCTCATATGCTCAGATAGTCAGGCGGCCATTCAATCTTCAACATGCAATAAAATCAGATCAAAACTGGTCTGGGATTGACTTCAAAGCCTGCTAACCCTGGCTGACCACAACAAGGTAACTCTTGGGTGCCAGGGCATAAGGGAATTGGAGGCAATGAATCAGCTGATGCTCTTGCTAGGCAAGGATCTGCGGCGTTGTTTATGGGACCGGAACCTGTGTTCGGTATCCCCAAAACCTCGATACGCGGCTGGCTGGCAAGGTGGATGCAAGAAACACATCAGGCATACAGTGACTAACGACATTCTGAGTCTAATTAGAAGTCAGATCAGACAAGTGACGGGACTAATAACCTATCACTGCCCCTTGTGGAAACATATGCATCAAATGGGCATCCATACAGACGAACCCATATGCAGACTATGCAATGAGGAGGAGGAAACTGCCACCCATGTAATATTAGAGTGCGAAGCACTAGCGCGTTGGAGATACAACGGGAGCAGTGAACTCTCAAGAGGCTTTTTCAACGAATGATTTGGTGAAGAGGCTGGTAAACCTAATCAAGGTAGCGAACCTGTTCACCTTAGTCAACAGCATGATCAGGAATACATTAGGCCCAAAGGCTGCAGTGTTTTGGGTTTCGAACCCTGACTGATCATTCTGATAGCTTTTAGATAGCTTTTATTCAGGTAATAAGTATTGTTGACACAATATTTTTTTTATTATTATTATCATTTCATAGACAGTCACCTAAACCTAGCTTGTATTGTGCATAGTCTATGAATTGATTATAACTTTAATTTACATCTAATAAACATTTTTAGAAGAGGTGGGTAATTGAAATCTGACAATATGTTTACAATAAAACTGATAAATAAAAACAGACAATGTTTAAATATGGTGAATTATAATTATCAGCAATTGAGGAAAAAAGGACACTCAGTCGAAAATTCTTTTAAATGAATCATAATTCTCATCTACGTATTTTTTTATCTCTTTTTTCAACTTGTATTTATTCTTAATATTTTTCAAATACATCGGTAGAATGTTCACTAATTTTGGTCCATAGTAGGATATGAATTTCTGTGTATAGCCTTTAGAATATAAAGGAATGCGAATGGCCAGATTGGCAGTAGTTCTGGTATTGTATGTATGTGTGTTAAAAGTTATTGGAGAATTCAGTGTCCATAGTATACTATGATATACATATAGTTTCCTTACATCAAATAAACCGGTTTCTGCATATAGCGATATAGTTGGATATCTGCGATTTTTTTTGAAAAGAATTTTTAATAAAGTATTTTGAATAACTTGAATATTATTTAACAATGATTTACTCAGGCTACCCCAAATTATTATGCAGTACCTTATCACTGATTCTGCCAAGGCATCGTATATCATGAAAAGTATTCTTGAGTTTGCGATATTTCGTAATTGATAAAATTTATAAATTAATTTATACAATCTCTTCACAGTATATTTTATATGTTCAGTCCAACGAAGATGCTGGTCAACCATCATTCCAAGATATTTTATGTGCTCAACCTTTTCAATTTCAGAGCAGGTACAGTCAAAGTTATTGCATTCTTCTTTGTGAATTTTCAGAAATTTGTTTTTTGGTTGATCTCTAGCAGTAGCAGTGAAAGTAATATATTTAGTTTTCCCAATATTTAAACTTAGCAGACTTTCATTTAACCAGTTGTGATAGATTTTTAGTTCTTTTTCTGCGGTTCTATATAGTTCTTCCCAGGAATCGTGTATAAAGGTTATCGCAGTATCGTCTGCGTATGATGTTACATAACTTGTTGTGTTTTTAATGCTCCCAATATTATTTATGTATATCAAAAATAAAATAGGTCCTAAGACAGTCCCCTGTGGGACTCCCACAGAGATTGTTAAAGGTTCACTGAGTACATTATTAACTTTCACTCTTTGAATTCTGCTAGACAAATAATCTTGAATGAGATTTAGGGGAGATCCTCTTATTCCAATTTCATTCAAGCTGTTGAATAATATATATAAGCCATCAATTTCGGCCGATAACATTATACAATAATGATCTGTAATATCTGTATGTATAACATATGATTCGAATTTTATTGATTCATTTCTTGTTTTGTTTGATATTTTGATGAAAATGTGATCGATTATTGAGGAAGTTGATTCATTTTCTCTCGTCGGTACGTTAATATAGGAAAAAAAACCATGTTCGGCCTTCATACACATATACCTATTTACTCGATTATTATTTGTGTTCAAAATATTTATATTTGTATCTCCCATCAATATAACGACATCATATTCTTTGTTATTCGCTAATATTTGGTCTACCTCTTTAACGTATAAATCTAAATTTGTTGCCGGAGGCCTGTAAGAAGCATAAGTACAAAATGTGAAAGCACCCAGTTTGTACGATATTTTTAGCAATTTGACTTCAGATAAATTTTCAATACTGGCAATATTGTCAACATATTTCTTCACATATACCACTACTCCGTCATTCTTATTATAGTGTGATTCATTATAAAACATATTAAAGTCAGGCAAAACGAAGTTATTCATATCCTCCATGATGAAAGTTTCTGATAAAATAATTATATCTATGTTTTTCAATTCTATAGATTCCAATAATATAAGAAGTTCATTGAAGTTTTTTTTTCAAACTTCTTATATTGACATGTATAATATTGAAGAGATGTTTCTTACCGTTAGTAATTTTCTCTAGAGTTTCATTGATATTTTTGCAGACATGTGTCCTTTTTTCCTCATATTCTTCTAATTCATCCAGAAAATCTAACATTAGTTGTATTTCTCAAATTAGCAGAAATATTATTGAAAATAAATTAGAAATTCCTAAAAGAGAGTGAGTATACGAATAATATATGTATAATAGGTACCTAATCAAGTTGCCCCTAAACCTTCTATTTTCTTGACTATATTTCAAGCAGTATAATAATTTTGTTGATGAATCAATATAATAATAAGAATTAACAAAAACCATATATGTACATAACTGTTATATGCATGTAATTGATTTTCCGTCCATGCCAAATCTAACCAGTTTTTTGTGGTTATCAACTTTGGTGAAGATCTGACCATTATAACACCATGCGTTGTTGTCGCCAAATTTTGTTTTTGCTTCTGCTAGTAGTTTTCTACGTATCTTTGTGAGGTCCTCGGTAATAAATATTTTCTTGCCTTTAAGGTTCCTGGCATTTTTCATTATGGTAAGTTTCCAATCATAGTTCATAAGTTTCACAATAACCGGTCGAAAACGTTGAT